TTTTTTGACTCTAACGGCTATTAAGTTATAAAAACAAGTAGAAAGAAGTATATTTCCACTAGAAGCCCCCTAGAATGGAATACCCTCTCCTCCAACCCCCCTCCCCCTCGGCCCACCCTCACAATGCGTTATATTAGTCACGCCCTGTGTTATGAAAACGTGCAAGTGATTTTTTATGCTTGTAAATGATCAAAACTATTTGCAAAATTTTTTGAAGATTCAAATTAGTCTCGCAAAAATGTCTTTGGGGTGAGGCTATCGTCAGCCCCTTTCTGAAATTAAAGGGTTATGTGCACGCGAAATGCAGAGCACAAATTTTTTTGGAGTGCGTGCTAAAGCCACGCACCTTCACACTAGAGACTTACCCAGGGTATACGGTCTTAACTACACAATCGTTATAAGGAAATGTGAAAAAAAAGAAGTTACTTACCGCACATTTGTACGTGGCTTTGCAGTGCACCCTTCCGTAGCTTTTGCTTCGACCGAATCGGCTCTCTTCCAGCTCGTCCACTGTCATCCAACGATGTTTCTTCGACGATCCGCTGCTAGCTCCTTCTTCACCTTTTCGCTTTCCACTGCTTACTTCTTCGATGATGGAGCTCTGAAGAATCAGTTTGAGCTCTTTTTCTAGCGTTAAATGACCGCAAAAATTGGGCAAGACAACAAATCTGCGCTTAAAGCAGAAGGATATTTTTGCGCTAACTAAGGTTATTATCTGATCTACAAAATTCAGTACGACAGCTGGTACCAACACAGATATGGATATACGAAAAAATTTTAGGCATTTTCTATGTTTGTGTGATTGTACAGTCATTGAAGTCTTGACGCTTGCGGGTACAAAAACAACACATTATTGTTTTTGTCCAAAGTCGTCCAAGTCAAAAAATTGCTCAAAGTTGTGCACCAGCGAAATTTATGATCATCAAATGATAAGGAAGACCAGGAAGAAATCCAGGAGAACAGATTTCAAATGCGCTGAGAGAATTGTGTATGATGACCACTGTTGAGCTCACAAAAATTGAATTTTTGCTGCTCCCTAGTTTAGGAAAAGTTCTTATATAAGTTTTGGTTGGATCTATTTGTTGACTGAGGGATGAACGAAAGGTTTGCGTGTTTGAATCAGTGCAGAAAACCAGGGATAAAACTGTTGTAATTTTGAAGTTAAAATAAATGGGTCTGAAGGCCTAGACATAGACGTATTCAATTTAGAGAAGCGGACCTTGCCATTGCGCGAAATTTACGTAAGCTGAAGGCTTTTGGAAATATAGACGTGAGCAAAAGAGCACAAATTGTAGACTAACTGGTTGCGATACATTATTACGTAAACACATTAGATACACACTATTTGATTTTAAATCCTGTTCACCTTGAATCTACCCTCACTTAAAATGAAGATGGATATAAACACTTCAAGATAAATTATCAGAGCATAAGTTTTTCACATAAAAATTCAAGTGATCGTAATTCAACTCATGTTAGAAAGAAACAAAACCCTCTCACAGAAAAATTTCACTATTACAAGAATGCGATTTGTCCAAATTCAATGTCATGCATGTCATGACATAATTAACCTTGCTTTTGCGCATGATATGAGCTGACAGCACCGTAAAGAGCTTGTTCTGGACTGATCTTCGTTCAGAGGTCATCACGAGAGAAAACACGTGAGGGTCTTCAGCTAATGTTTGACGGGTTGGCCGAAGGCCAAAGCATTTTTACGGGATTACGAAACGGTATAGTGAAAGGGGCGGGAGCAATTGTCCATAGGTCATACGGAGGGGCATCGGAAATTCAAAGTTTGTGATGAAAAATCACAGAAAAGGAGGTCTTGAATAGAGCTTTTTTGTAAGGAGTGCTCATAACAAAGACGTTTTTGAGGAAAAAACTCAGCTACTTACCCCAAAAGCGCTGCCCAGCACAGGATTTAGTAGATGAATCATAGAAGCTCGCACTTGCTCGTCCGACGGACCCAACCCGCTTCCGCCGTCACTTGAATCCGCAGCATCTATATCCAGCCCTCCGTTCAGATCACCAGACGCATTTGCGTCCAAAACACCAGTATCATCCAGCTCTGGGGATCTAAAATAGCAAAAAAATCACTTCAATTCAAAACTCGAAAAATACCGTACCCATTGCTGTCGTCGTGCTCCAAAGTGCCGCTGAACGACTCGCCCATAGACTGGCAGTTGGCAGCAGCCTGAGCCAGGATAATCCGTTGGATCTCTTGCTGTTGTCGTTCCTGTTCACGTCGTTCTTGCTCCTGCTTGTGTTCGAGGATACTGGCCCGGCTTTGGTCTTCGAGAATCCGTGATAGAGCACTGACTGTCTTGCAGTTATTTCCACCATTCAGTTGTGCTTTCAGGACCGATTGTGGAGAAAGTGACTGAAAAAACTGGGTAAGATCTCTTATAGAGATAATCCGGATCAAAGTTTGAAGAGTGTGGCAAGAATGGACCGATTTTGAAGATATAATAAACATGCTAGCTATAGCAGGAGTTTGGTTATTTTCTACTACCGACTCTTTCACTGACAAAGAAAAGAAACATTCTGGACTCAGA